CACACAGTCAAAAAACAAGACAAATAGATGTCATAAAGCCCAAAATATGTATACTCAAAGTCTTCACTCCAATTTGCTTGCTCTTAATTTTCACACAATATTAAACCTATTTACTGTTGTATCATTTCTAGGGCCACAGTGAAAACCTTCAATTAAGAACAGTTTCAATAGCCCACTAAGACCAATGGTGGTGTTGGTCTAAGGAGTCATGTCTCCCTCCTCTGGACTCCAGAGGGCCTTCACTTATATAAACATACTAACCACATTCACCTGTTGGCACCATTATATTTTAAAAAGTCATTTCCCATTCATTATCACAAGTTTCTTAAAGAAAGACCTTGGCTTTTCACATAGCAGTCAGAGTAGTGCACCAAACCATGTCATAGTTGATATTCATAATCAAAACAAAGCAAAACAACTCTGAGCCACCAACAGAAAATTAAATTATGTTTAATGTTGTTTGAAGTGCCTAGAATGAAGAATTATATTTTCGAAATATTTTCATCTTAAATAATGAAAATAAAAAGGGTTTCTTCTAAAAGTGGCTAATGCAAAGTTATTACTTCTTTCTACTTACAAACCAGGGAGTGTCCCACAGCTGAAGATTTGCTATTTACTGTTTCTAATTCTAGAGATGTATCATTTGCAAGACTTTTGAACTCAGCCTAGCTCATAGCAACCTGTGATAAAGGGAAGGTAAATATTCCCATTTTACAAATAAAAACCTAAACACAGAGCTTAAATTAATGCCTCCAGGTTACAGCTATTAAAGGTGAAGATCCCAGAACTTTTAGTCAGTTCAGGGTACATTTATCATTAAAAGTAACATAACACAGTGACAAAAATCACAGGCTTTACAGTCAGAAAGATCTGGGTTTTGCTCACTTCCTAAGTTAACAGTGGGTAGTATGCTTAATCTCATTAGATGAGGGCAGTTTTTTTTATTGACCTGTGATATTCATGCAATCTGACAAGTTTGAGAGGTTGTTGCTGTGTACATATGTAGGCAGTACCATATAGACAACTTGGTAGAGTTTTGAATATCAGTGTCTCACAGCTGGCTTTGTGTTGACTTGTGGTAGTGTCTTGCTGAGTGGTGCTCATTATTGCTGTTGCGTGTTTTTGTATGCCATCATGAGAATGTCAGAAACTGAAATTTGAGCAACAAACAAACATTTGTAAATTTCTTGTTAAACTTGGCAAGAGTGGAAGTGAAATCTGGGACATATTAGTCTAAGTTTATGGGGATAATGGCATAAAGAAAATGGTCACATACAAACGAATTACATTTTTTCTGAGAGGAGAGAAAATGTCGCTGATGAAGAGAGGTTGTAGTGGCCAGTAAAGATCAGAACTGACAAAAACATTGCAAAAATTCAGTAAATTATAAATCAAAATAATCAGCTAACTGTGAGAAGCATAGCAGATAAAGTAAACATCAATAGTGAAACAGGAAAATCTTCACTGAAAATCAGAGCCAACAACTCATGGCTCTTGTATCTCAACAATGCATCTGTCCACACGGCACTGCCCATGTGGGAGTTTTTAGCCTATAAATAAATAACTGTATTGGGATACCCACCCTACTCACCTGATCTGGCCCCCAAATGAATTTTTTCTTTACCTAAAGATAAAGGAAATATTGAAAGAAAGACATTTTGATGATATTCAGGGTAATATGATGACAGTTCTAAAATTTCTTTTAAGAGTAGACTAGTTGCCAGCATTGGTACCTAGCTTCCCAAAGGCAATACTTTGAAGTATGGTTACCTGAATACCTAGTATATTCAGCAGTGAGGTATGTATCACTTTTTCTAGGTTGAGTTTGCAAACTGAATTGTCTGACCTCATCCTCATCTGTGTATACATACACATATCTGTGAGGTACATTTTGTTACATGCATAAAATGTGTAATGATTAAGTCAGGGTTTTTAGGGTATCCATCACCTTAAGTATATATCGTTTCTGTGTGTTGAGAACATTTCAAGTCTCCTAGCTATTCTGCTGTTGAACATTAGAATGTATTCTTTCAATCTATATGTTTATATTAACCAACTTCTTTTTATTCCCTCCCTTCTTCACTCACACACCCTTCTGAGCCTCTGGAGTCTCTCATTCTACTCTCTACCTCTATGAAGTCAACACTTTTGGCTTCCACATGTGAATGAGAACATGTAATATTTGTCTTTTTGTGCTTGGCTTATTTCACTTAATAGAATGATCTCCAGTTCCATCCATGTTGCTTCAAATGACTTTATTCTTTCTTAATGGCTGAATAGTATTTTGTTGTGTGTACCTCAAGTTTTCTTTATCCATTCATCTGCTGATGGATACTTAGGTTTATTCTATATCTTTTCTATTGTGAATAAGGCTACAGTAAACATGAAGATGCAGATATCTGTTTGATATAGTGATTTCTTTTCCCTTGCATAAATACATGGTAGAGGGATTGCTGAATCATATGGTAGTTCTATTTTTGTTGTTTGAGAGATTTCCATATCATTTTTCATAATGACTATACTAATTCACATTCCCCCTCCCGTGTCTAAGAGAGATTTCCATATCATTTTTCATAATGACTATACTAATTCACATTCCCCCTCCCCCTTTTCCCCACATCCTCACTAGCACCTGTTATCTTTTTGTATAGTTAAGGGCAATTTCTGATCAACTATTAGTCATGTGATATTATCACATGTCTCTGTGACCAACATGCATTGGAGCCATAAGAGGGAATCTTTGTGGAATCAAAGCAAATCAATTTTCTTTTGGCCCATAAAGCCAGAAGATAAGGCATTAAACAAAAACAAACAATCCTGCCCCCCAACAAAAAGGACAACAAAAGCATTTACCCAATGATACATCCTATCTTTGTCTGTTCTTGTTGCTAAAGCAAAATACTATAGACTGGGTAATTTATAAATAACAAAAATGTATTTCTCACATCTCTGGAGGCTGAGAGGTCCAAGGTCAAGGTACCAGGAGATTCAGTTCCTGGCAAGGTCTTGCTCTCTACTTACAAGATGGTGCCATGTTCCTGCATCTTGACAGGGCAGAAGGTGGAAGGACAAAAGGGATTGAGGCTGTGTGAAGCCTCTTTTAGAAGGGCCTATCCTATCCCTGAGATGGGGCCCTCCTGACCTAATCACAGGCCCCACTTCTTAATGCTATGACACTGGTGATTAAGTGTCAACATGTGAATTTTGGGAAGACACATTCAGACCATAGCACCACCTTTCCATCTCTTAGTAATTTATTTTAAAACTTCCATTTGTTTGTATATAACATTGGAACAGTACTAATACCTGCCTATATCAGCCAGAGTAGGTTGTGTACAGTAACAAATAACACTCAGATCTCGATGATTTAAAACAACAAAGATGTATTTCTCACTTACTTGTGTCCATTGTGATTTGGCCAGTAGCTCCTTACATCATCCTTATGTAAGAAGCTGAGCTCATTTACTCTTTGCCATCTGCAAGGTTGTTGACACCCAAGACAAGGGGAAATGATTGTGGCATATCACATGCTGCCTCTTAAAAGTTTTTGCCGGGAAGGGATACATGTCCCTCTACTCACATTTCACTTAACAAAGCAAGTCACTTCTCTATACCTAATTTCCTCAGAATAGGAAATTACAATCCAACACAATGGACTGATAGGCCCAGAAGGAGAACTATAGAATTTTGGTGAACAGCAATGATGCCTGCTACCTGGCCTTACTAGGATTTCTGAGAGAACTAAGTTAGGGAATGTAAAACACAAAGCACAGTGCCAGATATCTTACAAGAACTAAGCAAATGTTAGGGATTGTTTTGACTTATGTTGGTTATAAAGTTTATTAATAACTATGATGTGGAGCTTATTTTAGCTTGTTGCTTGTAGTGTCACTTCAGAATATGAAGCTTATGAAGTAAAGCCTGTGTTTAGAAAAAAAAAATACAGGGCTGTGTAACTTCTAACCTTACATGATGGAAATGTTTGGCATACCACACAGGCACAACATAATGAAATGGTTGAGGGGTGCATATGACTTGGGTATAATAGTAGCTGGTTATTATTTTATATCCAGATGAGAAATTTGTGATTTATAAGCTGCCAAAGAACAAAAAGAATCAGACTTACACATTTCACTTGTAGGGATCTAAGTTTGCTACTTTGGAGTGTACGGACCTGTCTTTCATGTTCCTTTGCACAGTAGTAAGCTGAAAACCCATGGTAATCCAGGTGTCGCAAACACTCTGCTTATGGCTTATGAATTTTGTGCTTTCTTCAAGGTTGAAAGTAAGCAGGTCAAAGAAGTTCAAGAAAAATTAAGTTTTCTTGGTTTTAAGAGTCTTCCTTCCTTTTTCATCCTTTTTTCTGGTAGGAAAAGAGGACTATTTCATCGTCCTCTTTTTCCTTCTTAACAGAATAGAATCCATCATTGTGATTGATTAATTGATGGATGGATGAATGGTTGGTTGACTACATTTTACCATAGACGTCGTTGAGTGCGTTACTTCAGTTGCCATTTTCATCTTAAATGTATTTTTTGCCCTGTGAACTCCTCTGGAGTGAAGATTCTGTCATTTGTTAGCCTGTGTCATCCATGCCCAGAGATGACTGTACTGTGGTCTTCAAAAACAGTGAACGAAGAACTGAATGAAGGTACCACAAGGAAGCATTGTTCCCATTTACAGGAATTCTTGGCATAGGCAGAACATGGGGACTTTTCTCAGAGCTAGGCCTCTGAAACCCTCTGAATATCGTCTTCCTTCCTACTCACTTCTTCTACCCTCCTCACAGCCAGGCCTTGACCATGGGGGAGTGACGAGAAGTCTGTCTGACACTACAGCAGCACACTCTTGTCTCAAGCCATATTACTCATTCCTTTCCCCGCCTCCTTCCACCTCCTGAAAAGAATCTTTCCTGTTTTAGAAGAAATGCAGTCAGTGGTCCCCTCGCCTTCTGTTTCATCCAAGTAGAGGTTGGACCTGTGCTGGAAATCCTTCCAACTTCTCAGACGTCAGTAGGTATCTGATTCACCTGGAAGGGTTATGAAAACAGTTTGCTGGACCTGCGGCTCAGGGTTTCTGATTCAGATGGGGGAAGTGGACCCATGAGTTTTGCATTTCTGACCAGCTCCCACATTGCACCAGTGTTGCTGGCCTGAGGACAGTGCTTGGCAGCATTACTCCCTCTGAACTCTCCTCTCTCCTCCCTCCTCACTTCCCAAGACTTCCTGATGCTCATTTCTTTTCAGGTAGTGGTTTTGCTCAGTTTTTTTCTTTTTTGCTTGTTTTTAATAGGAAATGTATATATTTAAGGTGCACAGAATGATGTTTTCATGTCCATATATGTAGTAAATTACTACAGTCAACCCAATTAGCAAAGCCATTCTTCACATAATTAACTTTGTGTGTATGGTAAGAACATTGAATCTACTTTTAGCAATCTCAAATATTTATAACACAGTATTTATTGTTAACCATAATCCCTTCCTGTACATTAGATCTGTAGAATTTATTTATCCTATGTAACTAAAACTTGGTGCCCTTTGACTATCATTCTACTCCCTGCTTCTCTGAATTGACATTTTTAGAGTCACGTAAAAGTGAAATCAGGCAATATTTTTCTTTCTGTGTCAGGTTCATTTCATTTAACATGATGTCCCCCAAGTTCATCTATGTTATCACAAATGGCAAGATTTTCTTCTTTTTAATGAATAATATCTCACAAGGTGTGCATATATATATATACACACACACACACACACACAGATATCACATTTTCTGTATTCATGTGTCAACAGACATTGAGGTCGATTCTGTATTTTGGCTGTTGTGAATGATGCTTCAGTGAACATGGAGGTGCAGGGATCTCTTCAAGATGATGACTTCATTTCCTTTAGATAGATACCAGAAGAACGATTGATGAATCGTATAGTAGCTCTGATTTTTTAAGGAACCTTCATACTTTTTCAATAATGGCTGTATTAATTTACAATCTGACCAACAGTATACAGGAATCCTTTCTCTCCACATCCTTGCCAGTGGTTGTTATCTTTTGTATTTTTGATAATAGTCATCTTGATATGTATGAGGTGATATTTCACTGTAGTATTTTTTTTTTTTTTTGGCAGTTTTGGCCAGGGCAGGGCTTGAACCCATCACCCCCACTATATGGAGCCAGCACCCTACTCCTTGAGCCACAGGCACCACCCATTCACTGTAGTTTTTAATGTTACTTTTGAACTGTTGAAATAATCCTGATTATTTGCCCTTCTGATATCATAATAGTGGTGTTGTCTTTTATGTGTCTTCCCAAATGTTGTTTTGATTGTTACAGATTATGAATTCCTAAATGTGGGGAATCTCTGATACCAGAAAATCTCATAGAGAAAGCCAAGAGAGTTGCCCACCCAGCATTTAAGAAGGATGATTTGGTCAAAATAGTAAAGGGATGGTTTCCTTTGTAGTAAACACCCTTTTAATCAATTATTTTTAAAACATACATGAATGTTTTATTATAGTCCTGGTATCTAGCTAGTTAGCCAGTTGGCCTTTTTGAAATCATTGAAAAGGAGTTATATCAGCTGTCTTGGTGGGAGATAAAAAGAATGTGTCCGTAACTTTGTGTAAAGAATTTTATCTAGTTGACTGCTTCAAGCTATAAATTTATTGTTGTAGCTCTTAAATTGATCTGGACACAACAACAAAGTAATTTTACCTTTTAAAATAAAGATGCATATGTGACCTTGAAGAAATGAAAGGCCAAATTTTAACTGACCTCTTATATTGAGTATTTAGTATTAAAATCATATTTAGAAACAGAAATTCTGTGCTTAAGTTTTCATGAAACTTATATTTTCAAGTCCGTTGAAAGGTAAAATAAAAAAGTATTGCCAAACAACAACAACAAAATAAATAAATAAGGGCGGCGTCTGTGACTCAAAGAAGTAGGACGCCGGCCCCATATGCTGGAGGTGGCAGGTTCAAACCCAGCCCCAGCCAAAAACTGCCAAAAAAGAAAAAATTAAATAAATGAATAAGCTTGTCTGGGTATTTTCTCTATGTACATGTATCTCTTTTCTTCATTATCCACTGGATACAACAGAGACATTTGTGTTGCTGAATCTTCACTACCCTATAGACAGCTCTGTGCATTTTGATGTCTATTCTCCAGCTCTGTGTGTGTGTGTGTGTGTGTGTAAAGATCTCAAACAAATGAGATTGCTTAATGTATTTTTCTATAGTTAATTAACACGTTTATTGAATATTTCTTCCTGTCATTAGACGTTTTCCTGCATTTTCTAAATGATTGCATAGTATTTCTTTACTTGAATGTACTCTAATTAGAAGGAAAATTATTGTGTTAAACTAATTGAAAGGGAAAAAAAGTTCATGTGGCCAAATTACCCTCTAGAAAAAGAGCAAAAACCTTTTATACAAACATTGCTAACAAAAACACTTTTGGTTGATTGTTAATATTGCTTTAGATTAGAATTCTCATAGGACACTGTAGGGTTTACACTGATTAGGTTTAAAAATATTATCAATCAATTTGGGATGACAGGAGTCCTTTTTAAATATCCTCTTAGTCTTGGAGACAGATGGTCCAATCTGTAACGATACAGAGGTAAAATATCAGAAATTATGCCTCAAAATCATAGGATACATAAGAAACTAAATAGATTATGTGTTGGCATTGTTACTTGGGTTTTTGTTTTGGGGGAAATATTTGAACTTGATCTATGCATTGGGTGATGTTTGTTTGGGTTTTTATTTGGAGGTATTTTATTATACAGTTTCAATAATTTTTATAGACATTTCTATAAATGTTGAAGTTGAAATCATTTTATCCTCCCAACAGTTTGCCAGTTGTTAAGGTAGGGCTCTACGCTATGCAATTCAGAGATGCATATGATTTTTCTCTTTAAATAACATGTTTAATTTCTTTCTTTAAATAGCATGTTTCCCTCACTGAATTCTGAATTCGTAATCATGCGTCCTTCTTTCTTTGCCTAATCTCTGTTTTCCCTCAACATCTTCACTTAGGCTTCCTTCTCCTAATCCTATTTCTGTTAATGTGCCTTATGAAGAAGGAGAAATCACATGTGCTTTAAGTTAAACAGATCTGGATTCGAAACTTTGCTCTTCCACTTTTAGCTGTGTGACATTCAGAAAAGTATTGATCTTTGCTGGACCTCAATGAAGTAGAACATTTTTTTTCTCCCTCATTTTTCTGAGGACTAAGTATAATAATAGATATTGAGTATCTAAAAAATAGCTGGGGCTCGATAAATCCTAGTTCCCTTCTCACTTCCAATTTTTTCTTACTCTTCCTTCTCATGTTTCATACTTTCCCCCACTGTCTCTAGATGAATAATGTGAACTTCTTGGCAATTTTCCTGGGAAAGATTCAGGATAAAACCTCCCCCCCCTTTTTTTTCTGGAGTTCATCATTATTAAAAAATCGTCATGTAACTAATATTTACTTTGATCTCATTTAATCAACTTTATTCCACTTAAATCTGAACAAATCCTGAAATGATCTTTTAAGCCGTGGATAGTTCATTTAGTTTATGGGAAGAATGATGATCCCAATATCACCAAGGGTCAGCAGGCAAGGCTGAGTGGGGGAGCCATGATGGTGACTGATGCCTCCATTAAGTAAAACCTAAAGATGCCACCACTGAGTTCTGTCCTCTGCTTGGGGATTGCTAATGGAAAGTCACACTTCTTAGGCCTAAACCCCATCCACTGTGAATTCATGTAAGTCAGTTCATGCTCTTGTCTTCCCTCTATCCTTGCTGGAAATTCCTGTCTGCCTCCCGGTTTTTACTCCTCCTTTCTTTGAAAACAGCTCTCCTATTGACTTCCTCCTCCTTTATCCTATGTCCAAAGATCTCCTTTTGTCCTTCTCTGTACCACGTGACTGTTTCGGTAACTGTGCCTGGAATGCTGGATGCTCACTTGTTTCTTTGCTTCTGGGCACTCAGTCTAGTGAAGAGCACCGAGGATGTCTGATTCCAGTACTGAATCTGTCACGTGGCCACTGTTCAACAAATATCTGTTGAATACAGAAATGAATGTTAAACACCCCAGGAGTTTAAGGTGAAAGTCTTGGATCCCTCAGACAGAAGAACATAGAAGGTTGAAATTATAATTGGGGATCTCTCTCCTTCCAAAGTGAATTAGAAATTTGAAGCAATTATCAGCATTGTTCTGGAAGAATTAGAATGCTAGTTATCTAATTACTTGATTTCATTATCTTATGCAGATTTAGGAAGAAAAAAAGAGTCCTCTTCATCATTCAGAAGGTAATACAAAAATAATCCAGACACCCTATAAATATACTAAAGCAAAGGATATTAAAGCCTGAAGAAGCTTAGCAATTACTTCAATTCTCCATGTCCTTTTCGTTTTGAAGACACAGCAGTTCAGAAGTCAGGTAGTAGCTAAAGAAGTTGTATGGTCAGAACTTGAGCTGGAAGAGCTGCTGAAATACCACGTACAAATTACACGTCCTCTTGCATCTTAGTTCGTAGATATAAAGGGATGTTGAAAACCTACTGTGCACAGTTGTTGTGAGGATTTAATGAGCCAATATGTGGGTCACCCAACAAATATTCGATTAATCTCCAAAAGACTACAAATGAAATCTTTTGGTTTGCATATGTCTGCAGCAAATCTAAAGAAGATACTTCGAGCATGATAGTTATCTGTCTGTGGGGCTGACATCAATGAGGATCAAAGAATGTAAACAATTGCTAAGTGTTTGTTTAGCAAGCCAATACATATCAAAAACTCATTATAACACTATTAATATTTGATTTCGATGGGCAGAAATCTAAGAAGGCATTTTTAAGACTCTGGTTGAAGTGCTTTATAGGACTGCTCTCCCTTGTCATAAACTCATTTTAAATAAGCCTCAGGGATTTTAATGTCTTAAAGAAAAGTCCAATGTAATTATTCCTCCTGTAGGTTGAGATTAAGCAGGAAAACACCTCCAATGGGATAACCCTTGAGTGCAAGGGACAATCACCTCTCCGCCACCCTGGACCTTCCACCCACTGGGATGACTCATGGGGAGTCTGCAGCACAAAAAAGAAGAAACAGGGTAAATGTCGGGGGAGGAATGGAGATTTAATTTCAAGGCACAAAAACTGAATAAAATTTAATCTTGCTCCATCAACCTTAGAAGGGGATTAATGTAAATCAGGTTAAGTGGAAGAACCCTTTCTGGAAACAATTCTGTCTC